CTTTCATTTTCATTACATTTTCAGATTGTTATTGTACTATGGACGATGTTTGTTTTTGGACTTGTCACCGCGATCCTATTTGATATGCAATACTTCGGAAAATATATATACGGTCATTTCGAGCGCGATATTTTCGATAAAACGGATTATCTGATCTTGTATATTGCTATGCTGCTGGGCATCATTGCACTGGTTTTACTCTTTGTCGTCAATATAATATTAACTGTAGGCGTTTGTCGAAGAGCTAGAAAGAATCGTGAATAAAATTAGTGATATCTATAATATGCAGCGTATTAAATCCATGAGTTCAAGTGAACGGCACCAACTATGCGGAACTTGCGCTAAATTTGTTTGTCTCTACATTTACTGCATAAGAATAAAGTGGGATCGTTATCTCTTTTGAGAGATCAACCCAAAACCTAACTCGCATAAAAGTGATATTTTCGAATATATCGTTGATTTGGGTCTCGCTTCGATTGAAGATAAAAGTCATGTAAATAAAACTATTTTATTTAAACGTTTTAAGAGCACTTCTAAACGTTGTCCTCATAATCTCAAATCGTGCTATTTGATTTAGATTGGGAGAGAGGAGCAATTTTGAACCCACTATATCTGGTGAGAAAATGAGACAGATGAGACAGATCGACTTTGCTAAGGTCCGTTATTTGCTATTTTTAGCGCCAACCAGAATTTAAACGATAACATTGTGGTAATTGGAAGTTGAATTCAGAGTTCTGGACATCCAATAACCGAATATCGACTCATATACTCAAAATCACTCTTGCACGCTCTGAAAGTAAACTACTCATAATAGGTACATGTATAGGCAAATGGATGGTATTTTTGGCAAAGAAAGCTTTGCCTTTCAAGGACCTCGAGGAAATAACTGGTGTCGACGTTAAACGAAGCGTAACTAGTCGTATACATACAAACGACTATATGTGAGGTTCACCTAGGAAATATTTGGATGTCGCGTGAAATATAAAGCATCGTTATCGAGGGCATTATTGTTGTTATAGCTCTTATCTAAACCCTGTTTGGAGGAAAACTAAGTGGGACAGCAAACGAACTGTTATTTGCTTGTTATTTTTAAGATATTTGCTTGGACTTCATTGTGTTGGACTCGTTTAGAGGTCTGGATGCGCCACCCGCCAGTGTTACGGCGGTCGTACAAAATCGGATCGGATTCAAAGACACTTGACGACGGAAATTGCAACATACGAACATTACGCACATGTATGTATGTATATAATATGACAACATTGTTAAAGCAACAACAATATAAGGCCCGCACGTACTCGTTACTCGTTGAAGTAAGCACCAAAATTTGTTAATATTTACAATATGCTATACTTTAAAAAAGAAATTAAGAACAAAAAAGCAAAAACTTCTGGAATTAGTGTTAACAAGTGGCAAAAGCATTTAAACTCTAAAATTATTCTCTACACAGTAATATTTCAGTTAAAATATACATAAAGTAAATTTATTTTATAAAAAATCCCCTAATATTTTCAAAATAATTGTTAAAAATCACTGTAAAGCCTTATATAACCTACAAATCAAGGCGGCGAAATTGTGAGACGTTTGTTGATAAAAAGTGAATTACAAATATAAAAAACTAGTTGTAAAGCTGTACATACAAACATTTGTGAATAAAAATATTTAAAGGAAATACTTGTAAAAAAAGCATTGTGTGCAATATGAAGTGTCCATCGGTGAAGGAGTGGACCTCCGCTGTTGAAATTATTATTGCGGTATGAGGGATAATATATAAATACATATAGTATATACAAACAATAATATCACTTCTTACATTCAAACATACAATGTAGGTGCTCTGCCTGCTTGCCATTCCCTTCGTCGCTGTGTGATTAAACTGCCCGACTATTATGAATATTTTTCTGTATCCATGTCTGGCACACAATTGCTCTGCTTGATCTTTGCCTACTTGGTTCTACATTCAACATATCCGAAAACACGTTTCATGTGCGCATTTGTAGTAGCATACTCTTGTATCTTATATAGTGCTGGAGTAGGAATTGCTTTCATTTTCATTACACTTTCAGATGTGTATGTTTACTATGGACGATATTTGTTTTTATGCACCGCGATCCTATTTGATTCAATTTTCGGATAGTATATACGTTATTTCGAGCGCATTTTTTCGATAAAAAGAATATCTGATCTTGTATATTGCGTATGCTGCTGGGCATCATTGCGCTTGTTTACTCTTTGTCGTCAATATAATATTAACTGAGCGTTTGGTCGAAAGCCTAAAAAATCGTAAATAAAATTAGTACTAACTTATATTTAATATCAGGTATAAATCCATGTGAGAAGTGGTGTGTTCTCATTTATTGGAAGAATGACTGGAATAGCTCTGTTCAAACATTTGCAAGCTGGATGACCACTATTAATCTTTTCACTTTTCCTCGACTTCCAGCGTTCGCATTCGATATTACGCGCCTCAACAAAATTTAAGATCGTCTCGAACGCATCGTCATTACAAAGAGTCCCTTTCATCCTCACTAAATGCTTCTGACATCCCAAACACCGGTATAAATGTGTCGGAATCGTCTGTTGAAGATCACGAAACCTAGTCCGTTTAAGTGTAGTTTGTCAAGTTCTCCTTGATCTCTGGTTGAAGTAAAGTACATGTAAATAAATTCCTCTCTTATAAACGTTTTAACAGCAGCTTCTTACGTTGCCCTCCTTATAATCTCAAATCGCTTACTGATTTAGATTGAAAGGAAGGACACATTTAAACCGCTGTATCTAGTGACAAAATGAGACAGATCGACTTTGCTAGGTCGCGTTACTTGTGATTTGTAGCGCCAGCCAAATAAACGATAACATTGTATTGGTAAGTCAATTCAGAGTTCTAGACATCCAAGTACCGAATATCGACTAGAAGATAATATATAATTATGTCGTTTCGGAAAGCTTAAAATTGACTGTTCTTTTAATTTAAGTTTACATAAAATACATTCTACACGAAATATTTATTTTGTTAAATTTTACAAATACATATGTATATATGTACATACATAAAACATGTATACAATAAGTATTTATAAAAGATTGAAAGTACTTATATCATTTTTAGTAAGTATATTTTGGTTTACTTTTATTTAATTCTTTTTTGCATTTCGGATTTGCCAACTATGACTGAAAATGCTCACACATTTAAAAAGTAGTAGTACTTATGTAATTAGATTCCGCTCGTATTGCTTCCTAAATATTTAAATAAATCTTATATTTATTATAACTAATTAATCATAAAAACAAGAATTCCAGCAATGAACACGCTCAAACGCTCCACACACAAGTGAAATAACGTTACAAATTCGGTTTTCAGTTGTCAACTTTAGATGCCACGATATGATCGGTGAGCAAAATGCGCTAATAGGAGAGCACCTGTTCACAAGTCCATCATACGGCCGCCGTATGCAGTCGTATTGCTTGCCGTATCGGACGTCTGTCGTTCAACTGAGACTGAGATTAACAAGCGGCTATGCACAAAATAGCCGCTACGCTGTGATAATCAGTTCCTATTGGCAGAGAAAATACCTTAAAAATGCTCGTGTAATATGTTCTAACCCATTCCAGTTGGTGCAATTACATAATAAGGTCTTCGATATAATGCCGCCCGTACTGACTATTAAACAGGATAGAAGAAGGCAAAATGTTCTATCAGGAATATCGTGCCATGAGAAGAGAAGATTTCAGCACAGTGGCACTTCCGTCCGTACATAGCCGAAAATACGACTGTGGCAATGCCATCAGCTTTGGATGACAAATCGTAAGTAAAGTGATTTTGAATTTTACAAAGTTAAGTTGATTAATATTCAACATATATGTACATATATTTAAAAATTGATTCCGCACACCATAAGCGTCACGAGTTTACTATATATCCATATATATGTTAATTCAAGTCACTCACCGATTCGAATAATTTAATATGACCGAAAATGACTTTCAGTATCATTAAAGTACAATATAGGATGTATTTGTCGTGCTGTGGTCGTTCTAGTTGATTGTTCACTAGGAGACATGTTTCCGGTTTTTATAAATGCGTTAGGTGCTGAGAGGGTACAGGATCTTTAGCTGGAAGACACAAACGACTGAAACTTTTAAACAATCTTAAAACAAGGATAAAAATTATATTATTATAAATATATATTGTTATACAAGTATATATTTATATCTTTGACAATTTAGAGCGATTAAGTCGAATTCCAATATGAATCCCACTTAGTAGCACACTTCTAGGTTTTTTAACAGTTAAAGTTTCAAATCAAGTTAAAGAAAAGCGTGAGATTTTGAGTAGAGAGAGAAGAGAAAGACAGACATTCCTCAAGATCTTGAAGGCGCTAAATATCAAAGTTTAATTGAGTTTTATTATAAGAATATTTAATAAACGAAAAACATCGTGTTTGCCATAGGCAATATATATTCGTAGATTTTTTATGGGCTTGACTGTCTCGATTATTAACTCCTGATGGTAGTCTCCAACTATCACAACATTTTACCGCAGTGCCGACATACTCGTAAGAACAGGAGATGTTAAAAATTCAGATTTTTTTAACAATTATAATTTTTGACACAATATCGCTTGGAAGCAGTCTGAAAACAACTTCATTTTCACAAAAACCCCATACACATGCGCAAGTCCTAGATACATATATATGTATATATTAGATTTATTTACTTTTAAATAATTGTATATTTTATATCTGTCAAATATATAAACACAGTATAGATCCATAACTAGGTATTCTAGCTGTAACTGAAATAGTGTAACACGAATTCTCACATATTATACAAATCCTGAATTGTACAATTATTTTGAAAAGATATACTCAAATATTTCCATGATCATAAGTATATTCTCTAATATACTAAATACATAAATCTAAGCGTTCCAACGTTTATAATGAAATTTTAACATTTGAAATAAAAATCTTAAGAATTTGTCTATGACTGCAATCGAACATACGAACTATTCAACTTACATAAAACTGGCATAATGAAATAAATCAAAATAGATATAGCAAGCGTGCTTCGCAATCACAAGTGACCATAAGTAAAATGCGATTATCGAGCATTCCTTATTTATTCCGGAAATTTTAATGCATTGCTGGCTGAAAATACGTTGAATTCAAGCGGTGACACTTAAAATGCAATTATTTCATAAGTATTTATAAAATTTTTGACCCTACTTGTCTTTTCAATCTAATAAACGTGAAATTATCGCATGAAGGACTCATCGGCAATGCAATAATCGTTTACAAGTGGCATCGTAAATGTAGGCATGCATACATACATGCATATGTATGTGCATGTGTGTAAATTAAACGCCTACACAAATAGCAAAAACAAATACTAAATGTTTTTGAGAAAAAACTAATGTTTTTAATTGATTTCGACAATTTCCGTCTCACCCAAGAAGCTTACATTTGTTTGTATGTATGCGTAATGCAATGACAATTTTGACGTCATTTAATTTACAAAAATTACTTACGTACATACTTATATACATATAAGCATATAAATTAAAGAAATTTATTAGCATTTATTTACCGATGTTTTTGTCTGTCGGTTGGAATGGCAGCTATAGTGGTCTAAACTGAAGCATATATTCGGAGNATTTTTAACTCAATGTATATAGGAAAAAGCAATTATAAACATTATCACGAACACATATGTACATACATACTATATACATAAGTAAATATATACATATTGTACACCCATGTTAATGCGTTTAAGTAATTTTACATACATGTAATTCTATAATATTAGTATTAAGGTGGTCCAAAAAAAAATTTTTTTTTACTATTTTTTCCTTAGATACCGTGAAAATTTCGTCGGAAATAACGAACAAAATTTTGGTATTTTTTTTTTTTTTTGCCCACCCTATTCCATATGCATCTACACTCCCGAAAATGTTGGCTTATACACATATATATTTTGTTTTGTTTGTATTGTGGTCCACCAAATGTTTCAAATCATTTGGCTGCCATTCGACCGCCATTGTCCTCGCCACTTTGCCATCTGCTCTGCCAGTAGTCACCTTGGTCTATCGCCGCTATTCGGGTGTGGGCGTTGGTTTTTTCTATTTATTCGCTAATTTAGCCGAAAATAAGTGTATTATAAATCGTGTGTGAGTGTGTGCGTAAAGTGATTGAGCATGCGGCTGACTAACTAAGTAAAGAGCTGCCAGGCTGCCCAGAAGTCCGAATTTCCTCGAGCAATTAGGTACATAGATAGATACTTGCCTACATATCTGCATACATATATACCTCTCTGGCATATAAACGGCTAGCTGTGACTGGGAATACTCCAGGGTGTCCAATGAACTTACCCCTAACAATACACACATGCATACATGCACACATACATATGCAAACCAACAATTAATAAATGATTGCAATTATTTAGAACTCCTCAGCCATATACCTGGGTGCGCCTTTAACGTCGCTAGGGTATTGAAATTTATTTTTTTTGTTTTTATAAAAATACCGTTATAATGTTCTATATTTTGTTGTGTGTATTCTTTTGGGTGTGTGCGTATGTATGCCGCAATGAAATGTGAATATTTTGGAAATACACTTTACTTTACTTGTGTGCGATCTTCAAAATTCTATTTTGATTTTATGTT